GAGCTGTTCACACTGGAAATGCAGGATGGGGTAAGGTTAGCCCATCACCAAAAGAACCTTAATGTAAAGCAGTGCTCCTGCCAGTGCCTGGGGTGGGGGAGAAATCACGCAGACGACTACACGAAAGGCCAGGCATCATCCCAGGGTAAAGCAGGGCTGTAGTGGAAGGTGGAGGAGCCCCTGGACGAACAGGGTGAGGCATGGGACAAGGCAGCTAAGAGTTGCAGGGCTGGGCACCAGAAGAATCGCCGGGTGGAACTTTGGGGTACGGCAGGGAGGGGTGGAACGAGCCCCGCTCTCGGTCAGTCCCAGTGCCATTGGCCCACTGCCTTTGAAGAGGCCACCGATGAAGGCCATTTGTCCTACTCCCCTAGGTCCCGCAACCCAGCTCTCCCCGGAGAGAAACTTTGCCTTGGAATCTTAAAGCAAGTGACATTGTTGTTAGGGCTGAAGGGGGTGGTGGGATGGGAGATGCTGTCAGCTCAGAGAAAAATCTGACCCTTGTGCTCTTTGGGGGATCGTACCTGAAATGGGGGTCAGCGGGAGGTGGAAGGGCTGAGTGTAAAGGACCAGGAAGCCAGTCACACCTGCCAGGGCAGAGCAGATGTCAAGTGTTACCCCATGAGAGCAGCTGCATCCGACAGCCGTTGTGACAAGCAGAGACTCAGACATCCTCCTCCAGGGTACAGGCCACCCACCGATACCCCAGTGACATGAGTGGCAACTCAGGGCCCCTAGCTCCCATCCTCTTCATTTCAGACAATTCACGTTTGCTTGTCCCTCTTGTTGCCAAATGGAAAAAAAATCCATCTTTTCTCTCCCAGCCAGTTTAATCCTGTTCCATGTGGGGGGGATCTTGGATATAACCCACTCTCTCGGTAGCTGGAACGCATCACTTTAACCTGCGTTCCCCTCCCCCGTGGCATCGGCAGAGCCCTGGGGACGCTACTCCTTTCGTTGTGGGCAGGAGTGGGAGAATGATGGGTGGTTGTCATGCGTAGCTGAGCAAACCAAGTCACTGTGTTTGGATCCCCCAGAGCCAGCACCCTGGCAGGACTTCCGATCCCGGTCAGTAGCCAGATGCTCAGAGGCATGATGGAAATGAACACATTTTCCCACCTCAGAAACACTGCTTTGTTTCCACAGAGCAGCAGCGATTGGAGGCAATTTTTACTTTGTCCAGCAGGGGGCGATCAATCACAGTTTTTGTAGGGTTTGCTACTGCAAGACAGGGCAGCTGGATTATCAAAAGGCAAAACAAATAAATAAAGAGGCTGCTGATGTTTAGAAAGTGGAAACATTTCCCATCCAGTTTATAAGTTTGAAAGGAAGTCAAATCTGGGGTAAGAACCCCTTGGTGTTGTCCTTCGAGCTGCCGTGTAGAAGGACACCAGGGGAAATCACCTGTTAACCAAGGATGCTGAAAGTCTTGGATCCCAGAGAACACACAATCCATTGCTGATGGAGTTAGCTGAAGAGCCAAAACTTCACCGCCCCCAGCACATCAACGGGAATCAATCCGTAAAACCAGACTCCAACCGCCGCTTCCTACGTGACGTGCGGAGCGACACAAGAAACGCACCTGGGGAAAACGGCCAGCCTGCTGCGGTTCCCTCAGGTCCGTTTCGCGGCAAGTTCTGCACCCCCAGGGCGTTAAGCAGCAGCGAGAAGCTGGCTGACCAAGGGTGCGACTGCACTGGGCATTGGCTGCGTGGGACTGGGACGCCTTAGCCAGTCCTTAGGGGAGGGAGTGAAGGTAGCGAAAGACCCCAGTGAAAGTGAGTCCATGTGCTCTGGGGAGTGCAGCGCTGTGGGGTGCCCACGTGGCTCTGGCAGCTGCAGGCACTTGGCTGCAGATGCCCCGGAGGAAGGGGGGCACCCAAGCATGGCTGGAGATGGTGGCGAGAGACCTTACGGAATTTTGACCTTTATAAAACCCAAATCTGGGGTGACCTTGGTGATTTAGTGTCTCGTGCCAGACTGGCAGTGCAGGTGAGTGGCAAGCAGAGCATGGGCAGGCCATGGGCAACCCCTCATTGCCCCCCTCAGCTCTGCTAATGCACCTCAAGTCTCATGTGGGCCCCTCCCACTACCCCCGTCCGCCCCTTCATCCAGCTCCATTCTAGCCCTGCCCCGCTCCCTGCTGCAGATCCCATCCAGAGCGCCCCACGCCCTCTGCCTTTGCCAACGCACCTCTCTCCTGACCATATAACCACCCCCTGCCCGCCCTTCCACCCACTACTCTAATCCCGGACCTCTCCTGAGCCAGGACCCACAGGCCGGCAGGCAGGGAACTGCCCCAAGCAAACCTAAACCCCTCCTGTGAGATGGTGCGGAGAGCTTAGCCCTTTTCCCAGCATTAAAGCCTTTCCCAGCTATTAAAAATCCCCAGGTCCCAATCTGTTCTCAAGGGTGCTTAAAACATTCTTTAAAACCCCACTATAAAAGCTTCGATCCCTTCCCGCAGCAGCTGGGAATGAGCTAGTCCCACGCACAGCAGAGATG